GTACATAATAGACGGCCGGGGGGTGTTCGAGGGGTTTTGTGGTGGTCCGCACCCTTAAAAGAAGTACTCTTTAGGGGGATGGATCATCTAATGATGAGGTCGAAGGACTGAGTGGTATTTCGAGTCCATCGCTAGGTTTGGCGTTGTTTTATTAAATCATTGGGCGTGGAGGGTCCTACTTTTGTTGTTTATTTTATAATAAACAGTGCGGTTGTGTGGTGGGGACTTTTTTTCTTTTTTTTTCTTCAGAGGACGAGCATTAGTCAATGGCGACTCGCATCATGGTGAGAACACCGGGCTGACAAGCGCACTTTTTGATAGGCTATGAATGCCTCATTTTGCTTCGATTGTGTCCGGCGCAAGCCACCTTTTTAACACTGAAAACATCATTTTAACACCCTCCCCTCCCCAAAAGAAAGAAACAATGCGCTCATTCTTCTCGGGGGTTTTGAGATATGCAAAAGGAAAAACGGGGATCACATTCCTTTTAAATCTCGAGGGTTTATAATTTATACGGCATCCGATCTACATTTTCTATGGATGCTGGAGTCCTATTTTGTGTTGATGGGTGTCTATCGTTGTTCACGAACTGTCTTCCTTCTCTTCCCTCCTAAAGTGAACTAAATATTCCATTTATACACCCTCTTATATATCGAGAAGGCAAAATCGAATATCCCGCTGTAGTTAATATTACTTTTTTATATTTTTATTTGTAGAAAATGTCGGCATGCGACGTACGCTAACGTTGTTCAAGCAGCCTCTTGAGGCGTTGGGGTTGAACCCCAAAGTGCACTACCACGAGCGCGAGATCCGCGATGCTTTTCGCACGCGGGCCAAAATGCTCCACCCCGACGTCGGTGGGGATGCCGAGCACTTTAAGGAATTACGCCGGGCCTACGAATATTTAACCGGAAAATGCGAAAAAGCGGCGGATTTTCCCGGTCATTTGCGAAAGTACTCCTCCTCTTCCCATCCCAAATCGTCTCGTTCGCGACGTTTGTCGCGTTTGCGGCTTCATGTCTTTTACGAATACCGCTCGCACGCCATCGCCTCCGCCGCTTCTCAGAAAAGACTTTTGCATTTTGTCTGGGGCCGCGTTCGTCGGGGGATGCGGGAGTTTTGGTACGAACAGCCCCTTTCGCGGATCACCACCCGCGGGGTTTTTGTGCTTCGGCACTTTCATTTTCGCCATCCGATGGGCCGCGCGATCGCCGAGGACGACGTCGCCGCGGCGAATCGCCTCACGCGGCTGGCGATTTGTTGGTGTATTCTTCGCTATCGATTGGGCTGGGCCCTCGCCGCGGGGTGGGTGATCCACCGCGTTATTGATTTGAGAGTTGGCCGCGCGAAGTCCGCGGCCCCCGACAACGCCACCGAAGGAAGTTTAACAAAGGCCGTTTAGTTGATCTTTTCACATCCCTTTTCCTTTCCCTCGACAACGCCACCGAAGGAATTTTAGAAAAAGGCCCTTTGTTTGTTAGTTTTATACCCCTTTTCCTCTTTCTTGACAACATTAGTAGTAAAAATTCAGTCCTATCGTGTGGGGATTCCATGGTTTTCCATAAATGTATTTAGATCTCACAAAAAGAATTTTTCATGAAAGCCGATACTTTGTAAACGTCATTTCCCCTCCCCCCTCCTTTGCTTTCACCTTTTTTATTTATCAGGGTTTTTACGAGGCTGCCCAGCTTGGCTGGGATTCGTCATGTTAAAAAAGGGCGTTTGTGAAATTGCCAAATCATTTGTTTGGTGGTATTTTTTGGTTTTGGATGCTTTTTATTCGCGTGTTTAGACACAAGGCGAGAATTTTAATTGGTTTTGTTTATTTTGTGATGCGTTTGATGGGTCGATTGGGCGACCTTTTCAAATTTAGACGGATCCATCAGCTGAAATTTCCTCGTTTTCACCTTGGGGTTCACTTTTTTCATGTTTTTTTTTCTCTTACTTAAACACACGTGTGAAGTCATCTCAAACGATAGTCCACCAAACCATGACTTCGGCGCCTTTTAAGCCGAAAATCTATTTCAAAGGGGCGATGAATATTTTTTTTTATCGCGAGACTTTCCGAGGTTTATTTAACCCCCCTCCTCTAAAACTCTGATTGATATTTCTGACATTTTGGGGGGGAAGTGGCGAAAGGGATTCCCGTCCGGTGTTCTCTTTTTCTTTCCTCACTCGAAGCCCAAAGTCAGGAGAAAAAGGAGCGGATTCGAACGACAGTGCCGAAATGCGATGTATTTTCCGAATATTTTGATTTAATCCGCGCGGATAAAAAACGTGAGGCCCGATGTGGATTATTTACGGGTTTGCGCTCGTTGATTTTCTTCAACAGGCGGTAAGGACAATAAAATTGGAAAAGGACGGGTTCCCGTCCGCGGATGTTCGCACGTGGAGAGTCCAACCTCGACGCCGGGAGTGTTTGGGGATTCAGACGCTTTGCTGGCGTCTTTCGCGTTTTATATCTTATTTTTATACATTTGCGGAGGTCGAATTGCTTTTTAAAAACCCACCGACTCGATACTGGGGGGGATTTTCGAATTTCTTCACCCTCGTCTCCGCGGTTTCCACCCTTCGACGGAAGGGGTTTAGCAAACAGAGGTCAGCCTCTACATTTTATCACCTGGCGTATCGTATTTATTTTAGGTTTAAAATTAGCGGCAAAGCGAATTGTTTATTACTATTATTTGTACACATATATACACATATATACACACATTTGTGGTTTCGTTCAACGCGACTTAGTTGCGTTGGATGCGAGATTTTACTCTAACTTTTATGCTGTTTTCCGATTTTTCCACGGGCTATCCCCACTTTGGAGGAGACATTATTTAGACCCAACTCAACTTTCTTTTTTTTTTTGACAAACTATTGATTATTTTATTAAAGACGATTACCCTACACCTCCTTTAATAAGACCGACGGTCACCTTCTACGGCTTTGAACCGTTTGTCTGCAGTTGGGCGCACTTTCTCGAGATGGGTGGGCGATTTGATGACCTTATTCACCTTGAGAATACCTTTGCCTTGGCTTTGGTCCTCAAAAGTCGCGTGATATGTGCGAAAAGAATGTAAGCAGCCGAAGGTATGAGGCCATAGGGGTTTTAATACATTTTTTTTTTTTAATGCCTCGGCTCAACGAAATAATCCCGCATCCAATGCGGTCGTTGGGGGTTGGCGAATTAAGATTGCGGGCCACGCGGCTTTAGCCCCGCCCGGGCTCTTTATAGGCCCCACCTAATAATGGCCCCCACTATATAT